TCGTAGTAAGGGTCAACCATGAACTGAGAGTTGCCCTTCTTGCCAGAGGATCCCTTGGGATGTGGTGCATGCCGAAGGTCGGGACATTGGCGGATGAAGTGAGCGCCGCCACAGTTGTAGCATTTCCCGGAGTTGCCCTTGCCGAAGCCTCTGTCACGGTGTATGGCGGCCGTGGCTCGTTTGGCTTCAGCCCAGGTACGACTTGCTTCTTGGGCCATTTGTTCGGCAAGCTGTTCAGCTTGATGTGCTTTCTTGAGCTTTGACTCCTCAGCCGGGTCGAGATGGGGAGAGGCAGGACTGGTGTCCTTCGACTCGGAGTCGTTGTCCCAGTCCCAGGAAGTCTGGTCTTCGGCAGTCCAGTGTTGGTGCCAATCCTGATCCCACCACTGGACACTGGCATAGTGATCGTGCCATGGATCAGGTCGAGGGCCAGGTTCTTGTTCTTGAACATGTAGATGATGCTGTACAGCGTGAGGTTGGCGTTGTCCAAGAAGTTGATCGTCCCACAGCATTTGCAGTGCCCGACTGATGGAGTCGTAGTTCATGCTGTTTTGGGTGGTGCTGAGGATATCACGTTTTTCTTCACTGGTCAAGCTGGCAGCCTGTAGAAGACGCCAGCCACGCAGGACGCCCATGATGAAGGAGTCGGCAAGGGACATCTCGTCAATGACATCCACCTGAGTGATGTCCAGTTGAGGTTGCGCATGAGGGATGTCCTTGCCCTTGCCTTTGCTGCCAGGTCTGGAAGATCTGCCAGGGGAAGCACCAGGTGCAGCATCAGGGGAGCTGCCGTCCTGAGAGGCGTCCGTTGCCCTTGTTCTTGGTGGAGTGGTAGCTTCGTCGGGAACGGATTCATGCTCATCTTGATCTTGATCATCTTCTTGGAGAAAGGGCTCAGGTGAACCACTGGGGATGCCGAAGTCCTTGTCCTCCTGCTTGATGCCCTTGCGTTCCTCGAACAGACGAACCAGGGCTTCGGTGAACTCCGCGTAGCCGAGGGTCTCGCGGATGAGGAAGGCACTCATGCTCTCCTGGGGCAGCCGCTTGAAGGCGAAGTACTGGGCGCAGATGGCTGCCGTGTTGGGAAGGCTCTGTCTGACCAGAGGAGAGCCGGCCAGACGTCTGAGAAGATCTCGCGTACCATCTGGTGAGTCAAACAGTTGTAGAGGCCAGGACATGGCTAGGAGCCGTGCTGGGCCCGTCAATCGACTCACCAATTTGGTCGCACAGTAGCGCCGCTTGTCCAAGGGGACGCTCATCACCCACCAGGCGACTTCACGAGTATACCGCCTCCATGTCCGTGCGGATCCATCCCATTGTGGGATGTGGCCTTCCTTGTCTGACATCGTGTTGATGTTGAGGTTGAGCTGGAGGTTGCCGTAGATGGTGTTCTCGTGGCCTGGTAGTTGATGTGTTCCAGGAGGTTGCCATAGAGGGAGTTCAGGTGTGGGGAGATCTTGATGTTGTAACGCAGGAGGTCCTTGAGGTGTCCAGTGTGACCAGGATGGTCCTCAACGTCGGTACCCGACGGAGATCTACACCTCAGTCAAAACCAGGTTGCCACCCTCAAGGTCGGGGCACGAGCCGAAGGCGAAGTGCGGGTGTTCCTCGGACTCCCGGATCGTGTAACCGTGCTCCGCTGCCAATGCAATGACCGGGGGTCAAGGAGGCTCGCAGCAGCCGAAGCGCACCTTTGCGCTGAGATCGAATGTCCACGCGCCCAATGGCGCGGTCGCAACCGTGGCTCGGTGTCGAGCGGACAAAGGGGCCCCTCTGTCTAGGGCCATGGTGGCAGCAGTGGATCAACAGTTGACATGTCACAACCGAAGGAATCGCAGAATCCCAAAACCACTGGAGGTTTCTGTTGGGAGTCGTTTGTGGTCAAATTTGTTCAATGGCTTGCTTTGGACTGATGGTTCAGTTTGATTTGCAGGGTTTGTATGATGCCCACTGTTTGCTTTGCCTATTCTCAAGGAATATGGTGGAATCACCCAAGTCCTCAAAGCACCATTCGCAAGTAAATCATGTTGTGAGGTCATTCCAAAAAGGAAGTTCTTAGGCAAACGTATCAGGTGTGGTGATCAGCTTTTCCCCCTCGCTCCTCGAAGCCCATCCTTTGAAGGGAGTGCAAGATAACTTCTCAGACAACAGGCAACAGGAGTGCCTACTTGTGACAAGCTAACCTTCTATTTTTGGCGGTTGACCATGGACCATGGAACAACCAATTATCCAGTTATCCCATCGTGTATCAGCCAATTTTGGCTGGTCTAACATGGAACCAGATTCAGGGGGGCCCTTTGTTGACACATCCGCATTTGAGAAACCAATCATCCCACTTCTGGAAACCACTTTGGCGTCACCGGGGTTATGATTTGACATCCATTCTGGCGGTGCTTTCCGAGTGAAAGGTGAGGGCTATATTATACAACCATAGATGTCCTTTTTCGGTTGATTTGGTTGGAAAAAATAGAGGGCCCTGGTCTACCTGGTGGTTCAGTCAACTATCAGGGCCATCTATTTTCCCAAAAAGTACACCTATGTTATATAGCCCTAACACCATCTTAGTGGATCCGAAAGTCCAGACGGCTTGGGCGCTCAATTGTTCTCGGTTTTCTTCCAGGCGAAGAGGGGAGGGGGCTATCGTCCAAGCCTTAAACGAGGCCTTGTGGATGTGTCCTTTAATGCGGCCCCTTCCCAAACTATGGAAAGGTCTCCATTTTTTCCCGTGCAAATGATGTCCAGCTCCCTACAATTTGTTTTTGTTTTTCAGTGTACCCTTTTTTGGGAGTTGGTTTCAAGGGAAGCCAAATGGAAGCCGCGGTTGGTCGGGATTGCATATCCCGTTTGGAGAAGTGTGCCCACATGTGTGTTATCCTCATGTATCCTATTTTGTTTCGAGGTTCTTCTTATTTGACATACCCATTTGTGCCACAATCAAAACCTCGGTAGATGAAGGTTTGTAGGGGGCAGTCCCAGCCAGAAATAGGTGTCGGTGTCCCATGGCAGCGGGTAGGCTCCTTTCGTAGCAGGTTTCGGTTTAACTAATAAGTAATCGACGTGCACCCAATGGTCTTAAAAGGGACACGACTTCACTATTGCTGTCATGTTTCTAGGTTTTTGGTTCTGTTCACCGTTGGTGGGGGGGGCTGCTGCAAAAAACAAGGTTTTTGCTGCCAAAGCGTTGTAAAAACCACCCCCTTTGGGATTCCATAAATTTGTCAACTTCCCGCACTTCGCTCGGATTGGAGGTTTGGGCTTCCCCGCTTTGGTTCAAAAGGAGCGAATTTCAAATCCCCAACTGAAACGGCAAATTGAGGACCTGACTTTGGAGGCGCTTGTGTGGAGATAACTCAGAAACCAAACATCCATGGACACCAACAGAAAACCCATCTAAGTGAGCACACGAATCCCCACAATTTTGGTGTCCACCTGATTCAGATTCACACCTCTATGAGTGTTTTTTTTCTGATGGGACCTTTCTAGGTGTGGTTTTAAAGGAGGACAAAACGAAAACATTTTATCCTTGAGGGTCCAATTCCTGTTTTGAGACCCCCCCCCCCTCTATGGAATCACCGCCAATTTGGAGGGTCCGATTCCTGCTCCCTGTGACCAATTTTGAGGGTCTGATTCAATTTTGAGACATCCCTGAAAAACACACCACCAATTTATTTATATGTATATATATATATATAATTGTGCAATCCCAGCCAGACCAGCAATAAATTCACCACCCGGCTGGGTTGCGCACCTGAGTTCTGGATGTCAACCTCATATCTGGGGGTTGGGTGCGCACTGGGACCCACACGCTTACCCTTGGGCGGAGGCCACGCATGGCGAGGTGGCATTTTGCCACGCGACGTTCAGCTCAATGCCCCCAAGTTGGCTTCCAGTGCTCTGAAGCTTCAGATGCTGGCTGAGCCAATGATGCTGCTGCCCGAGCCTTTTGGCTCGGGCGCGGCTGCCTGGACAGCGCAGGCAGTCGCCAATGGTGAAGGATTTGGCCGACCCACTGCCGACCCTTCTTCGACGCGCGTGGCAACAGCTCCAGTTCGGCCGTGGTTCAACTGTTGGACAGGAGCCGCCCCTCCAAGGATTCACGAGCTCGCGCCTGCGCGTTGTCAGAACCGAAAAACTGCCTATGAAAAACTGCCTAATTATTTGATTTGTATTTGAGACGCCCGCCTATGCCCAATTCCAATTTTGAGACAATTCATATACTCGAGAGTTGCCGTGCTCCCTGCCATTTTTGCAAAAAAAAAAGGTCCGATTCCCACCGCAATTTTTGAGGGTCATTTCTTACTTTGAGACACCTCTGTGCAACGCCAATTTTGAGCGCCCGACACCTCAACATGAAACACCCCTTTTTGCAGAACCTCGAAGGCCAAAACTTATTTTGACCCCGCGCGGAACACCACCAATTTTGAGGCCAGTCTCTCTTGAGACGCCTTGCAAGCCATTTTGAGGTTAACTTTCCTCCTACAGAACACACACACACACAAGTTCTCAATGGAACGCCACCAATTTGATTCGCCACCCTCCCCGCCACGCAGCAGCGAGGCTCCAATTACGATCGCGCATTCTAGGGCAGCTTTGAGGGTCCAGTTCTTCTTCTTTATTTTGAGCACCCCGGTCGGATTCCTATTTCGAGACACCGGTCCGATCCCACCAGGATCACCAGTTTATCTTGAGACATCCCCCGCAAACCGATTTTGAGCGCCTGGCTCCTTTTTTGAAACTGCCTTGGAACACCACAAATTTGAGGGTCCGAATCCTGTTTGGAAGGGTCCGATTCCTATTTTTTGAGACATCTATTATTGAAGGCGAAGGTTCAGGGTGGAACGTTCCGATTCCAATTTTGAGGCAGTCCAACGGAACTGAACGGTCCGATTCCTGTTTTTGAGAAATCTCTGATATGCCACAAATTCTGAGGGTCCAATTCCTATATTGCTCCGTTCTCCCATTTTCAGGCTTCTCATTCTGGCGGTTGCGCCAGCCGCCAGGTTCCGGGAGCCGCAGGCCTTGTCGCAGACCTGGACGACGCCGAGACCCTCCAAGATCCCCCCGGAGTGTGCCCAGCGGGGCGGCTCCAAAGGTGTGAAGGGCCAGGAGGACGGGCGAATTGTTGTGGGTGTGTCGGACGCCCGAAAAGGTTGGTTTTCCTGTAAAAGGCACCCATATAGCCTTATACCTGGCTCGGAATACTTTTGGATCTTTACCCTCAAACCGTTTGGTATTCTATATGGGCGTGTCGGGGCGCAGAGCGTTTGACATGGATGACTTTCAAGAGGGGATCCCTTTACTGGCTGGTGGGCTGCAAAGGGTGTCCAGAGGGCTCCCATGAAGTTTCCCAGGTTTTCCTTTAAATCCGTTTCAAAAAAACGGGCACCCTCCATATGGCATGGTCTGCTATTTGATTGGACTGTTTATTGTTTGTTGTGGGAGAATACGCATGTTTCATGTGTTTGGCACAGGCGACAAAAGCCACATGGATGTAGCACCCTTGATGCAAAACCAGCAAACACACCCATCACGTGTGCGGATTAGAATTGACACCTGTCGTTTGTTCCTAGCGGCCCAGTGGGTCTTGGCCCTTTTTAGGGCGACAAAATGGTGCCATGTTTCGCCTATGGCCACTTGGCTTCTAAATTACATAGTTAGAGCCCTTCAGTCACGCTGAAAAACAGACGACGCAAAAGCCAATTGTTGTCGTTAAAAAGGGGGGCCGTGCTGCGAAAGGGAGGGAGGTGGCGGTGGTGGGTCAGGTGACCCACCACCAATGGCAAAGGCGCCACCAAAACCACCCCTTTTTTGGCAGGGCAAAACGCGAACACATCCCTTATGTGTTTGTTTGTTTGAAACGAACACAGCAAAAGCACAACAGGTACTTCCTGCCCTCTTTACTTCAGCGCAAAACAACAGCAACCAACAAAAAAATGGCTGGAGTTGGAAGGGGGCGGAAGTTGCACTCTTGTTGGTTTCAACGTGAGTTTCCTTTGGGTGAAATGGAAGGGAGTGTTGCAGTGTGCCCTTTGGGTTTATGTTTGCTTCACCCAAATTTGAGGTTGCCCAGGTGTCCCGAAATGTATCTTTGGATTCACACATCTTGCGGAGAGGCCAAAGGATGCCGTTGCGTTTTAGCGTTTCAAGCCTTGCAAAGTGGAACTCTCGCGAGCCATGCAAGCAACCAGCTTTAGAGGGTTCCTCCTTTTCGTCATTGGCTATTGTTTCAATGGGGAATCTCCCCAAATCTGATTTGTTTGCAGACAGTGTAATTCTTTGGCGCCAGGTTTGATTATGAAATGTTTGACGTTTCAAGCAAATACTGGCGGTGCGGAACAATGAGCCCCTTATTGACCGTACTTTGGTTTACTTGCATTGTTCAGGGCATCCACCGTACACTAGAGTCACGTTCAATTGCCCTCATGATGGCTTGAAAAGAGGTCACCCCTAAAAGTATGCTTTGAAATCCCTGAACTTACAGTTAGTTTAAGTGCGACCATGTTAAGGGCCTCCCAGAAGTTTAAGCGCTCCAAGGAATGCAAAGAGGTTCTAGTTGGCTTCGTCCAATTGAAATGCAAACAAGTATTGGCAGGACTAAATCTTGCGTTAGAGTCAAAGTACCCCAGAACCACATTATTTAGGTGCTTTTAGTAGGGAATAGATTGGATAACCTTGTCATGTTTTGTTGTTACTTGCCTCACTCCCCGAGCTCCGGGAATGCATGCGTTTTGGGAAGATCATTTGTGTGCTGTGTGTGTGTGTGTCTTCTTTTTCAACTCATACCTCCTGCGCCCGCAAGAGCGAGGACTGCTTGTACCTCAACGTCCACGCTCCAGCGCAGACCAATGCCAGCCGTCCAGTGCTGGTGTGGATCTACGGCGGAGGTGCCTTGAATTCAAACTTCACCGACCCATTCCGCAAAGTGTGCTCGTTTTCTGTGGGCACCCCCTTTAGGTTGGTGGAGGGTGGAGGGAAACCCACAGGAAAGCCAGCATTTTGGGGGTCCCGGAAATAAGTCCCCTACGTTCAATCAGTCCACGGGAGGTCATGGCCCTCGGTCCTTTTCTAGCTCCCCCAGTAGTGCCCTTTTTGCCTTTTTTGGGGGAGGGTTCCCCTACCAAAATAGACAACAGAAAAAAATATAACGATCGACCTGTTTTATTTGTTGAGCTCGAATGCGTTTTGCCCACCCACGACGTTCTGCGAGGCTTCTCTATGGGCTCCAGCTATGAGCTTGGGCTCTACGATGGACACCACCTCAGCGCGAAGCATGAGGTGGTGGCGCCTCGGGCGTGCGTGAAAATAGGGGGGCCCCCGAGGGCTGGGTTTCCTTTCAAACCGACAGTGTCTAAAAAAACACGGTTGTTTTTCCTTTGGCTTTCCTTTAGACCAACGTGGAGAAGGACCAACTCAAGGAACACACACACACACACACACAAGCACACGCAGCATGGCTTTAGTTGCAGTGGGCATGCTTAGGTTGGGTGCCTCAAGGGAAACATCCCCACTCTCTTTTAAATGGGGGATCATATCATATATATATATGCACACACCAATGTTATATATCTATCTGTACATACATATAGTGTTGATTTAGTTGTTTGATTATTTGTTTTGGCTTTTTAAAGTAGCTACTTACTTTCCATCAGCACACCTGATTAGGCAGGTTTCGGCCCAATCCCTTCCACTGAGGTGGTCACCCTCAACTACCGCCTGTCTGCGCTGGGCTTTATGGCCTTGGACGCGCTGCAAGGCAGGCGACGAGTGGAGACACGAGCCCAGCCAACCCCCCCCCCCCCGTTGCCGCCGAATTGTCCCAAAACCAATGGTAAATTGCGGTTTAAGTAGAGGGGTTCCTTGTTACCTTGCTTGCACTATGGCAGGCGCCACCGTATCAGAACGAAAAGTAGGACAAGGGAACTGGTCATGTCTTTTTGGGCATGAGCAAAGGGAAGTTGACTAGGAAGATAGAGGAGCAGACACTAAGGTCCCCATCTCTTTGCTTGGTGCTTGCTGGATTTCGCTCCTCTTTCGGAAATTGAATGTAGTTGGCGGCTTACCCACCTCCCCAAAAACAACTTTCCTTTTGCCACCTTTCGGGTCATTGGTCGCAACTGGAAGGTGTTCTGAGCATGTAGCCTGGGCATTGTGCCTGGTTTCAAACTAACCCCTTGTTGCGGGTTTCAGCCCTTGACGAGGCCTTATTGCTAACTCTGGGAGTTGGGGTGGTTCATTCTGGGGGCGGCGGGTACTACGACAGGGTCAAATGGGTTTGTCTCAAAACAGCAGAACCCCCAAAACTGGCGTCCTTGTTCAATTCAATCCCACAAAGAGTGCCCTCCCATCATGGAACCAGATTCCTGTCCATTTCCCTGGTGGGTTCCATGGCAACCTGGACCAGAGTCAACCCTTTTAGGATTTGGACCCCTTGGTTCATACTGCATTTCCTAGTGGTTAGATCGTTTTAATTGGCGTTTTCTCCAGTTCCATCCTTGATGGCGTCCTTTTGATTTCCCTTTGACACCCCAGAAAACGGGGGGGTCCCAAAAAAAGACAAGCCACCCCACGAGCAACTCGCAAGCGACCAACCGCGAGGTGAGCAACCGGCGGGCAGCACCGGCAACCACGGAGTGCAGGAAGCGAGCGAGTTCGTCGGTGTCGGCCACTACCCGTTTAGTCGCACCCTCCAAATCCCCTTTAAGCTTTGGTTTGCACATCCTCTCCTTGTTTTTGTTTTTGGGGGGATGCTTGACTATTATCATTATTATTCAATTTGTTGAGGGGGAGTTTCTTTTTGGGGGAGAGGGGGGTGGCACGCCCTTTTCTCAGCGGGAACCGTTTGTACTTCAGTTTGGGTGGAATCCTGCAAGTTGGTTCCCCTCTAAATATGGGATCAACCCAAAAAATATATGTGCCGTACTTAAAACGGACACTGGGAATACCAAAAGGCTAGAAGGTCGACTTGCTTTGGACGTTGCAAACCAAACACCCCGGCCTAAGTGGATCACGCAGCACAATCGGTGCCCGAAAATTGGTTGCAACCTGGAGATATTTGTCCTGGTGCTTTCCGCCCGGGTGCGGAAGCTGGTTTTCGACCAGGTTGCTGAGTTGCACCCTCCAACAACTGCTTTTCCCCATGTCCAAAACCCCAAGACTGGTACTGTCCAACAAGCAGTGGTTGGGACTCGTGTGCTGCTTAGTTTCACCAATGGTTCATCAGCCCTTCGGGAACTGTTCTCCCCCCTCCCCCTTTCTGGGGAGGAAGCTGAAAATCTACAACTTTTTAGGCGTCTAGTGGTTACTTCTGGCTATTTGGTTGGAGCTGTGGATTTTGCCATGGGAAGCTTTTTTAAGGACTTTTCCATTAGACCCACAAAGCTTGCTCGGTGCTCAGCAGGGAATGAGAAATCAAATGACCCCTCTCCAACTGGTGGTTTCCTTTTTCGGGGACCAAAGCCTGGGTTACCGGGTTCATTCCATGTCACATTCCCCACCGATTTCGCAGCAGCAAGACAGGTTTCGCCAGCTGACCGGGCCATCTGGAAGTTGGATGGCTGAAGGGACTGGCCTCGTCTCGCCAGCTCGCTTTCCAGGATCAGCAGCTGGCGCTTCGCTGGGTCCGGCGCAACATCGCGGCCTTCGGCGGGGACGCCACGCGCGTCACCGTCTTCGGGGAGTCCGCGGGGGCCTTCTCCGTGATGTGGCACCTGGTGAGCCCCCACTCCGCAGGCGGGAGGTTTGTGAGCCTGGGGCGCTAGGCAAGCCACTAGAGATAACCAGAGATCCTGACCTCTAGGTCTTTAGGTTTTGCATCCGGACGCCCGGCAAGAATGAGAACTTGAAGGCAACTGGGATTCGAAATGCCGAGGCACTGAGTAGAGCAGTCGGAAAAGGAATCGCCCCAGCGGCCAAAAGGACCGACCCCCTTCCTTGCGCGGTCAAGTGGTTTCAATTTGATTTCGTTAGTATTTCGTTAGTATTTTGTTAGTGTCATTGTTCCGTGTTGGCACATCGAAGGTTCAGAGGCTGCGGGAGTCAGCTCTTATTTTGTTTCAATGTCACCCAGGCGGATGGCTGGGTCTTCCCAACAGGGATCCATGCCGAGTGCAGTGATTTTGCGGTGGCCCGGAAAGCCGTGACCATGCAGGGAACACTTTGAAGAGCTTGGGGGACACTTGGGAAGACTTGTACTTCCCGTGTTCGTTATGTTAAAAGCAGCTTCGGTTTTGATGCTTTGGGAACCTCAGATTTGGCCCCTGGGTTCAGGTATGCGTTGGTGGCTATGATCAGCATGAGAATCAGTTACTTGATTAGAGTGTCATAGAACCTATTATTGTCGGCGAACTGACCATGCAAATAGCTATTCAAAAGGACGAGCATAGTGGTTTACTTTACTTTACGGCATGCGCTAAGGATTTGACTTCTTTTGAGCATGCGCTGAATCAACTCAAAAGCCAGGAGCCTATTCAATATATTTTAGAAGCTTGTTTTTTTGGACTCACTTTTCCCGTTACCCCTGTACTTCTCCCACGCACATCCGCGTTCAGTGAACCCCCTGGACCCCTGGACCCCTGGACCCCTGGACCCCTGGACCCCTGCATTGGTCAAGCGGAAAGGTCCTGGCCATCTCACTGTCGACGCACCTTGGTGTCTTCGTTGTTTTTAGGTTTGTTTTTGCAAAGGTGAGGCAATCAAGCGAAACAAAGCAGATTTACTTGGACCCCCCACAATCCAGACGATCCAGACAACTGCTCTTGACCGGATTTGCTGTGAGGCGCCACAATGGCATACAAGTGTTTGTGGTTTATGAAATTACAGCCCTTTTTGGGTTTGTTGCTTGACATCCCGCAATGGACGGGATTTTTTGCCATTGCCTTGTTGGCAGTGTTTGGTAGGTTTTCCTCCCATCCCAGTTCAGTCACTGGATTCCATCCTCTAAATCCCTTTTGTTAGGTGAGTTCCCTCTAAAAGTGGCATCGAACTGGTTCCCTTTTTTATCAGGGTCACTGGTTGCAACTGGGATTCTGATCTCGCTGGGTAGAATGAGCTCGGGCTTGAAGAGAAATCCCTCCATCCGAGCAGATGGGAACTCTGACCTCCACCTTTTTTCGGCCCTGACCTCCCCCACCGGCCGTGCATCAAATGATTCGCCTCGCGGCTTGAAGAGTTTTCTCCCTGACCTCCCCCCTCGGCCGAAAAGAATCGAATTTCTCTCGCAGGCTTGTTCCAGTCGGCCATCATGGAGAGCGGCACGGTGGAGACGAGCCTCTTCTTCCAGCCGTTGGAGAAGGCAAAAACGACCAAAACTCGCACTCCCCGAAGCGTTGAAGCGGCAAAGCTTTTTGGGAGACTGAGTGCCCAAAGCGCCAGCCTCAGTTTTAGTCGGCAAAAATAGTTGTCCAGTGGGTTGCATTTTGTGTTCAACTTCTTCGCGGGGCGGAGGACTGGGTTTTGATTTCAATATGAGCCAACATAACTTTTTTCTGCAACGGCCACTTCGCTGCTGAGCATCAGTCCTTCCCTGGAATAAGAACACCCTCGACCAATAAGCGTTGGCTGGGGGGCAAACGATATGCATTAATTTTGGGCGATTCGGAGTAGACATGTATTGGCATTTCAAACTCTGGCTATTCGGCATAGGGTAATTTAGTTCGAGGATCCAGCAAATGAGGAAAGGTTTAAACATGTTACTTTGTCATTTGGTTGTAGTACACACTTTGCAGAGAAAGAGGGGTTTAGGGTTTAAGATATTGGTTTTGTTCAATGCTGGCACCCAAGAATGCTGGGGCTGGGCTCAGAAAAAAATCCGCCAGTTCCGTATTGGTTTAGAATCAGATTTGATAGGTGCATTCATCAGTCTTCCTTCTTCTGGGAGGGGGTTCCCTTCAACATCAACCAAAATGAGCTCCGAACCAAAACTGGAAGAACCACAGCCGGGTGTGTGATTTGATCAGGGACGCTTTGGTGGGCAGAAAGACAAGGGGATGTGTGTCCACCAAACCATGTTGGGTCAACGTAATAGCACCACACCAACCTCCACATTCTGTGGCTTTTTTTGAATACCGATTACTGCTGTTGGTCGTGTTCTTGGAAGCCAAAGAAAGACCATGGCGTTGTTTGTTTGCCTTTCTGGCCAGGTGGTGAAACGGCTCTGGCCAAATAAAAATCACTACATGCAGACAACCTCATGTTGCATATTTTAACGTCACCGCACCAGTGAGTAAAGCTTCCATGCAGGCGAAGGCGTACTACGAAGAGCTGGCGGAGAGGCGCTTTGGTCGGGGGACCCTCAGGAGGGGCATGCTTAATTTACAAGCTAATAATCAGTAAAAAACATTTAAACTAATACATATATATATGTACCAGTCCCTGGGCCACGTACCCCCCCCCCCCCCCCCAATGGTATGGTCCCCCAACTCCCCCGCATCATCCGCATCTTGGGGATGATGTTAGCAATGCTGGGGATGCTATCCGTGCGAGCCCTGCAGCTTCGGTCCCAGACCCCCTTTCACCCCGTGAACCAACACCCCCGCACCTCTCGCAACATCCTACCCTAAACCAAACCACCCTGCAACCCCTCCTTAACCCCAACCCTAAGCCTAAATCAACCCAAACCCCAAACCCACCCGAAACCCACCGCAAACCAACCCTGAACCAACCCTGAACCAACCCTAAACCAACCCACCAAGCCTAAACCAACTCCGAACCACACCCCAACCACCCAACCACCCAACCACCCAACCACCCAACCACCCCACCACCCCACCACCCCACCACCACCCCACCACCCCACCACCCCACCACCCCACCACCCCACCACCCCACCACCCCACCACCCCACCACCCCACCACCCCACCACCCCACCACCCCACCACCCCACCCCCACAGGGGGGGGGGCCCAACCACCAACCACCCCACCACCCCACCACCCCGCCACCCCACCACCCCACCACCCACCCACCCCACCACCCCACCCACCCACCCCACCCCCACAGGGGGGTTGGGGGGGGGGGGGGGGGGGGGTCCACGGCCTGGAACATATATATATATATATATATACACCAATTGACGTATAATTAAATTAGTTTACAATATTGACAATGCAACAAGTTTCCAGAGATTCTTCCTGCACTAGCGTTCATCTGGGTCCAAAGGGACATCCTCCGAACGGCCCTGTAAACCAGCTCAACACTGTCCCATAAAATCACATCATGCCATTAAACAATGGGTTGTTTGGAAAACTGGTTTCGCCAAATGTGTACCAGACTCTCCTCGTTTTGGGGACAAGCAACTGGACCCCAAACACCCAACCCCCAAAACGAGAAGCAAGCGTAAGCTGTACGCTTTTCAGATTGATCTGAAGGGACACAAACGGGAACAATGCCATTTTGTTGGGGTTCACCATGAAGAACTTGGGTGCGCATCTTTCTTGAGGGCGCCGACCCGCTCCCCGTGGCGCGAGGCTGCATTGCCCAAAGCTCCTGGGGCCACTGCAGTTGCCTTGCCTCCGGGCACTGCCGCCGGAGCTCATCCTAGCAGTAGAAGGCACCGAAAGCCGGGCACGGGCTTGCAGGTAGGGGAGGGGAAAAAATATAGTTCCTGGTTTTCCCCTTGAAACCACCAAAAATGCGGTACCCGAAAGCTCTTTGCGGAGTGAGGTTTACGGGGAGCCCCATTGCCTTACTTCTGGCAATGAATGGCAAGCCACTTCAACCCATATCTATATTTTTACAAGGTGAAGGAGAAACAACACAAACCCGCCACCCTTTTGGAAAAAGCCTTAAGGAGAATCCAAATCAACACACACCCGCCACCCTCCACCCAACCCCAGTGCCCATTTTTCGGTCCCAAAGCGCCGCCAGGTGGCGCCGACGGGTGGCGGCCGATGCAGCGCTCCACGCTGTGGCCGGTGATGCCCACGGGCCCCGCCGTCGACGGCACGGACCACGGCCTCCCCGACGTGCCGCTGAAGCGCCCGGGCGGACGGGCGGACGGGCGGACGGGTGGGCGGGCGCACACGGCCCCGATGCATGCGAGCAACCGGGCACACTCCTAGGATCCTAGTGCAAATTGTGTTTGACAGACCAATCGCTTACCACGTTTAAGCAAGGTTCAGGCAGTGCCCTTGCACTGAGTTTCTCTGCAGGGTAGGGTGACACCCTATTTTGGGGCCCAGAAATTTCTTGTGCTTTCCGTTTACGCAGCTTCAAAAAGGGCACCTGCAGAAAAGACATACCCATTGGCCTTCAGTCTGCCTCCCCCACCAGCCGCACTCGCTTGGGTCGAACTTTTCTTTAGTCCATGGGGGCTGGGGGGGAGGGAGGGGAGGGGGAGGGAGCCCAAATAAGCCCCTATTAAGCCCTTAAGAAGGCCTTTTTTAGGGCCTTTAGGGCTTATTTGCTCGCTCGAGGATTTTTGTAGTTTGAAGTGTCTTAATTAGAGTATTTCCAAGTATCAGGCCAAAGACCTTGCCCACACCGTTTCAGGTGCCATAGGGTGTAATGTAAAAAAAGCAGCCTTTGCCCGGTGATTTCCATGATTCCCAAACAGCCAGTGGACTTCAAGGCAAAAGTCGCAAGCCCCAAGATCCACATCAGGTTTGGGGTTTGCTTCCAGCCCTACCCGGTCAAAATGTTGAGTTCCCTTTTTGACAGTCCTGTTTTCCAGTGTCGCGCCCTTTACCCATTTCTTTGGGGAAGGTCATGCGGTTTCCCCACAGGTCGCAGGTGTAAAACGTCAGGCTCCCACTGCAAGTGGGGGTCAAAATTAAGTCCGTCCTCTTTGGTTCCCCCTTGTTGCTTGGGCCCTTAAAGCTGAACTGGCGCCATTGTCTTTCAGTTTCAAGCGGCTTCTGCAAGCGAAGGCTGGTGAAGCAGGGGCGCTTCAACAAGGTGCCTTTGCTCTTGGGCGCCAACGAGAACGGCGGCTCCATCTTCGAGATGATGCTGCCGGAGGCGAAGACTTTGCCGAATTTATTTCGCCTTCGCCAGAAAAGGGAAAAGGCCATCCTCTGTTTTTTGTTGGTTTGCATTTGCGACTATGGGGTCTTATACAAAACTATGTGATGTTTTAGGGTAATTAGACTAAACATGAGTCTGTCCCAAAAGGGGGAACCCTTCCTGTCCGTAGCCATTTTGGCTCAAGTCTGGTCACCATGGCTTGCGCTCCACCTGATACCTGATGATTTGGTGGCCACTCTTACTGTTCCTCAGCCCATAGCTGGATGGGATGCTGCGCTCACTGCTGTCGCATCCAGCCTAACAACCATGAGCTCACCGGAGGGCTGGATGCATTCTCCAATGTGAAGTCCTCTATCCCACAAGAAGCGAGGACGTCCTCTCGCTCCCAGGGAGGCTTCTGTCCATCTCAGCTCTGCTGGAGTCATCAATGGACCTGAAGTACTATGCATCCAATGTGCAAGGCCTCGGAGTGGCTGTGGGCCGTTGGCACTGTATGTGGCGATTCTCATCGTGAACAGTTCCTTGTTGCGCCCCATGGGAAACGGCATGCCCAAGGCCAGCTCCTAAGCAACATGAGGCAGTGTTCGTCTTGCAAGCCTTGCGCGCCAGATAATGTCACGCGAGGACACCTGCGCTGCATGCGCCAGCTCAGGCTTCTAGCAGCGTGCGACAAAGGGCGCAGGCGGGATTAAAGCAACCAGACACCTCTTCCATATGAGGGGCTAGACCCCAGGATCTTCGACACGGCCCCGGTTCGCCCATCTACTGCGTTGGCCAACATCCTTGCCAGATACCCAACTCTGCCCCACACCGAAAGCTTCACGCAGTTTTTGACCAGCTGCTTCCGCGTGATTCTGTCGCCAAATAGCTATCAAGCGGCAGAGTTTTCATTTTTCTGCTCTATCATAGAAGTCCTCCCTGTGAACGATTCCATGAAAAGAGGCGTACTGCTGCGAAGGCATGAATCCAGGTTGTATTCTGGGCTGCAGTGCTGAGAGAGCTGAGATTAGAGCTGCAAGAGCTGCTGTGACACCTGGGTGACAGCTGCCATTCAGAACCAGAGGGGCGGCCGTGTGTAAGAACACATATATTCTAGCAGTGCAAATGATGGACAGACGAAGCACGGGAAGGTGGGAAGAACGGAGCAATTTCCCCAGAAGCGGCCAGCCTTCCTGGATGGCTTTAAAGGGAAGGTTCCTAGTTCTGATCCAGAAGTAAATGGCAGGGGTCCCAAGTTGAGCCCTCAACCAGCAAACCGCACGCTCTGCGCGCAAGCGCCGGTTGATCATTTACTGGAGGCAGAAGGCCCTACGCTTCCAAAAGAAGGGCTCCGAGCCCCTGCAAAAAAGACTTGATGGCGTATCAGCTTGACAGTACCCATGTTATCCACGCATGTTTTACCAACACAGAACATTGAGGTAGCCCTTGGTTGGTGGTTTAAATTGGTGGTTTAGGGACTTGAACGCCTGGCTTTTTGTAGAGGGTATGGGTTTCACCCTCCTTAACCTCCAAACCACCAATCCAAACCACCGACTAGCAGGAAGCTAAATAAAAAGAAGCAGATTACGCCCAATGCTTCACAGGACTGCAAGGCCCGGCGTGCCGCAGTCAGAGTTGTGAGACAAGCAAAGCTACTGAAATGTGGTACGCATGGAATCACAAGTCCCAAGGATACCACCTTCTCGCCCTGCACTTTTAGTCAGCTTTTGGAAGACCAATATAGTGATTGGCACACAAAAATGGATTTTGTTTGGCCCATGGCAAAAGCCTGCCTTCGCGTTGCCTTTCTGAGCAGGGGCCTAACAAGCGCAGCAACGCCACACACGCCAACAGCACTGCAAGCAGCATGCTGGCGGCATGAAAGGCGCGCAGTCCTCACATTGGTCAGGAAGTGAGTTCCTCTACGGACTAGCTTGGTTTTTCAAGCTCCATGTTCTGGAGCAGTGTATCTGTTGAATCACAAGGTAACTTCCACAATTGAGCTCGCCCATCTCGCCCCCCTGCTTGTTTTGATTTCCTTTCCTATGACTTAAGGTTCCTCCAACCCCTCCATATGTAGATTTTAGCCGAGCAGACAACAAGGTCCTTTCTGAACCCCAAAGACGGCCCATGTGTCCAAAGCGCCAGGTGCTCCCGGGCGCCAAGCTCCCGCTGAAGAGGAACCCGGAAAGCCTCTCGAAGGCTTTGGACTTCTTCTTCCGGGAGCCGCTGGGACCGGGGAGTTTTTGGTGTGCCAAGTGGGTGGGTCCGTTGGGGGGTACCCGTTGCTTTTGTGTGGTTGTTTTTTGTTTCCAGGGGGAACCAGCAGGAAACCACAGTTTTGGGTACCCCGTTTTTTGGGGGTAGAGTTTTTTTAGTTTCGCAATTTTGGGTGTCCGATTCCTAGAATAAGACACTCCCAAGTTGTGCGTGTGTTTTTGTTGGTATGTTTTGCCCAGATGTGGTAGAGATTGGGATGTGGGCGGCCTTCCCTGTTTGGCCGTTTTCCAAAGTGTTTTTGTTCTTGAAGGGTTATTTTAAGGCTCACCTTTTTCGGCCGTTGTGTCCAGCGAGCTGCCCGGCTCGAGGAACGTGTCGAAAGTGGAGCAGGTCTACACACAAAGCGTGCCGGCCTTAGACTCGCGAGTCGGAAGACCAAGCGTCTCCAGCTTCCCACCTTTTTGGGTATACGCTATGATGTCATCCCCTGATGTGAATACCCACCTTACCCAGTACTCTCTTAGAAGATGAGCGGAGCCAGAGGGGTGTGCCCTAAATAAATAGGCGACCTCCACGCAAGTTGGTTGTTTCACTTGGCTTCTCCCGAAAACCACCTCGAAAAGGGTATCCTCAAAAAAGACCCACCACTCATGTGTCCTAAGTCACCTCTCGGGTGACTGTTCCAAAGCAAAGTCCAAACTGCTTGTTTCCCACGGAAACGACCTTCAAAAAACGACACTTTCGGCAGAGCTGCGGTGCGTTAGTATCCCTGGTGCGTTAGTATCCCTGGAACCCCTGGCAAGTGAACTCTGTTCCCCAAGCATCATGTCTTATGGGCCCTCCTGTCAAGAGGTAAACCTTTTATTCCCAGATCGTTGCGGCAAGCAAGCAAACTTCATGGGATGTCCCTTTCGCGGGATGTTTCCCTTGGGATTACCTTGCAAGCCACCGAAAAGAAAGGGAAGATCCCCTCAACAAACTCGGATTCTTTTGGGTTTCCCTTCAAACACGATTCAGAAAAAGGGCATCAGTTTGGACAGCGTGAAATTTCCTGGTGTCTTAGACGCATTGACTGAGGAATATTTGCAGGACCCAGACAAGATGATCCGGCGCATCATTCGCGACCTGATCTTCTTGTGCCCTGCCAGGCCGCTTGGGAGTGTTTGAACCGATAGGGTTCTCACGGGTCGATCGCATCAATTCGGACCCAAATCAGAGGCAGCACCAAAATAAATATAGTTGCCATAAAGGGGAACCACCCCCCAACAAAACCAAGGTCCGGATTTTACAATATGTGGTCATGTTTTAATGGACCTTTGTGAAACCCCTAGGGATTCTGGATTGGGATTGACCAGCCCATTTGGAGCAGCCCAGCTATTCTGATCTGCAGCCTCTGAGAACCGCCTCGAGCCTCCAGATATCAGAAGACTCCACTTGTTGCCTCATCACTAGCGCGGATTGGTGGGGGGAGCGCCGAATTCATACCTTCAACTTGCCTCACCTTCAAAGGGGTGCGGATGTCATTGCCCGGACCGTCAGACATAAACCAATCCATCAAGCTCATTTTTGTTCAGGTGTCTGTGGAAACTGCTGAGAGTCGGTGCCACGAAGCTTCTTCTTGTTGTTACTTCAAACCCGTTGGTTTCAAGGGGCCAAATCTAGCTGACGCGTTGCCATTTTTCTTTTGTTGTATGGTTTGATCTGAGGGGGACCGCCCCCAATCAAAACCGATGTGGTTTTTGCTGCGATTTCTGCCTTTGAATACCCCAAAGAGATGGCAGTTCATGCCTGAACGATTGGGGGAACAAGGGCAAGCCTGTAATCAACCGCGATTTACCTGCGTGTGCCCGATACGGGTTGTTTTGGAGGGAAACTCCAAGGCTTTCTCCCATCTCGGTGTGTCTGTTTTGATGGCTTTCTTGGGTCGGGTAAAAAGGGACACCGGCAGAATACCAATATGTTTTCTTTGGCGACCTAAAGAATGAAAAAGCTGTCTAGGATTGTTTTCTTTTTTTGGGCCCTCTTCGGACTGCTTTGTTCTTTCCGGGGCTTACCAGTGACCTGGGCTTCCGTTGACACTTTGAAACAAGTCTTCAGTCGGACCCGGCGGTTTGCCCTGTTTTGAGGGGTCCCCCATTCGACTGGCTCTTTTCTTTTTTTTAGTTGGCCCCCTTGGTTTTAAAGGCAAACCAAAAGGAACCTCTGCGCCTTTCTGGGCTGTTCCAACATTAAAAATGAGACCTGCGGCACACCAGAACCGCTTCAAATCTAGATTGAAGCCTCCAATCCAAACCACTTAAGGGTTGCCTGATCCTCCAGTTGCTTCAGGTTTTCTGGCTTCAAATGTTCGCATTCTACAAGAACCCGGTGTTCAAATCCCCAGAATTAGCTCCCTTTTTCGCTTTTTTGATCTTTTTTGGGGTTTTGGTTGTTTTCCACTAACCAGGCAAAACATATTTTTTGCAGGGGTTCGAATTCCAGCCTAGTTCAAATCCCCCCCATGAGACAGACTCCGACTCGGAGACTCGCAGGGCCTTGGCAAGCGCCTGGGCGCAGCAGGGCCTGCCGGCCTATTTGCGCCTCTGGCGAAAAAGAACCCAAGGGTCCATGTTATTATGTATATTTGGGGGTAGGTGCAACACCCATTTTAGTCCATTTTAGTGGGGATTGGGATGCTCACTGGGACTACGGGATTTTGACCCATGGCCATATATATATATATATATATATACATGGCACCCCCCCAACAAGGGACCCTGGTTTGGTGAGCTTGACCTGTATCTTCCAGTGTTTTATGCCTTTGTTTGCTTCTTGGATTTGTGTCAAAATTAGGGGGGTGCCATATGTATATATATATACACATTTGTGTGTAGATATATAGTTTGGGGTAGACAAAATATGGGTGCGCTCGCTTTTTTTTGAGCTGGTACCCTTTTTGGCGTGGTTTTATTCAGGGGAAACCAAAAGGAAGCACCCACCTTGGTTCCGTTATTTTGAGACATCCCCGAATGAAACAGAGTCTGAACCTGTGGGTCAAGGGGAGCCTTAGCGTATGGACCGTCAGGACAGTCCAGTCCTGGAGTGACGCAGCCAACCCTTGGTGAATATATCAGCAGTGCTAGCTAGCGACTTACTGTAAAGAAAACCCAAAGGGGATGGATTTGGGCTGGGTGCTATCCAGCGACCTTTGAGTTTTGTTATGTCCCTGCAGGTGCTCCAAGACTATGCTGTGTTTCAGGCTAGATCAACAAAGCCTAGCTTGAATACATGCTGGGCCCAGGTATGTCTTCGACTTCAACTATGGCCTTGCGAAGATGATTGGCCTTGGGGACTTTCACGGCGCGGAGCTTCCCTTTGCGACTCGGAAGCAGGAAGCGACTCGCAGGGCTCAGCGAAAAACGCGAAGCGGCCATGTGGCCAACATATAGGTATGGGTCAAAATGAAACCGCCAGGGGACACATGTTTTGTGAGCCACAGCCATACTTCCCCTTTTTCAACATCCACCTGGTCGTTGCCATGTGGCTGCGGGTCAAAACCAACGGTACCATTTTGGGGTAGGTGCACCACCCATTTTAGTCTATTTTAGTGGGGATTGGGATGTTCTGGGGGTACGGGAGTTCTGGGGGTACGGGATTTTGACCCATGGCCTATATATATATATATATATAGAAGAGGTGAAGTAAAGGTTTCGGCAAATCAACATGGACGGAAGGACCGGAGCCTCCGGGAGCTCCGAGGTCTTCCGCAACTGGCTGGAGTTCATCAAGCCCATCGACCCCTTGCAGTCCCCGTGGCACATGGCGGCGCCTCGGCTTGGCTTACGCCACGCGGGCCCGCACGAGACGGACGGCGCGCCACCGGAGGGTTGTTTGTGGAATGGGAGCGAAAAGGAGGCGATCCCCACTCGCCGAAATCTCCGGGTGTCCACAAAAACCATAGTTATGTTTTGAGGCGTGGACTAAGAAGTTGTATGAAACAGAATCTGAGAATCGCTTGTTTGGTGTAGAGATGTGGGCCAGAAATCCATCCGACCTCTCGGCCTTTTGTTTCCACCTCTTGCGATCATGTTTAGTCCTTCCCCAAAGGCTCGTGGTGTGCTCCCACCTGGTGTTCCAAATTCTGTGGCATTGAGTCGATCCGGAGGTCAAGCTTGCCAGGTCCTTCGGGCAAGTCAGGGGGTGCCATCCAACCTGCCGAGATCAGAGTTGCGTCGCATGGAAGATGTACCACGGAACAGCAAGAAAGGAAAACCGGCAGGCCAGGACATATGAGCAAACCCAACGGTTCGTTCTTATGCCTGGCTTGTACAAAGCACGCACCATGAATCCACCCCTTCTCGGACCCCTGAGATGAATTCAACTCCTCGGAGCCTTTTCCACCACCGTGGTATTGTATCTTGCTTTTGGGCCAACAACTTTGGCTATTTGGACGAATTCCTTGGGCTGAATCCCAACCAACCAACCACAACCACCCGAAATCTCTCCCTCGAGGGAGCTACTCCGGCTCCAGGAAACTGATCGCAGGCTCCGCCCTGTGGGGTTCCACGAAGGGCTCCATTTTTGGCTTGACCACTTGCCCAGAGGGTCCAAGTACCTCCGGAGGATTGCATTTGGGGTGTAAAAAGGGGTCTAAGTACCTCCTTAGAAGGTACTTGGACCCTCTGGGTCGGGAGTAGTCAAGCCATTTGCGAAGCTGCTGTTGTTCACCGAAGACTTGTGCCGGCTGTACAAGCTCCAAGCAGGTTGCTTGCCTTTGCCACCAAAGCCCATCGTTGCACAACACGCCGGGTGCGTTACTTGAATCTTCGGCAAGTCTTTTGTTTGGTGAAATGGTTTGGCTGTTGAGTCACTCTAAGATGGTCACAGCCCCAAACCACTTCCCCTTAGATAGCGGCTACAACCTGGTAAACCCAAATTCCCTTGGAGGTAGTGGTGGGGTGGTGGAAACCATCTATCTCAGCGCGTGGGATGTGTGACAAAGCTTGGGATAATTTTCATCTGGTGAAGGCGCGAAACCGTCTTTCTCAGCACCTGGGGTTGATGATAAAGCTTGGGATTATTCTAGGGGTACCTTCCAATTCCATTCTTTCCAGGGATCCTTCCTTCTAGAAAACCTTCGGAAACCCAGGGAAGACGGATCCGGCTTTTGGAAAGAACGATGGTTGAACAGAATGGACAAGGAATCCACCCCTAGAATTGCAGCCCATTCGCTCAGGACATCATGAGCTGCAAGTGGGCCTCCTTCGCCACGGTCCGTGACCCCAACGGCGGCGACGAGGCCAGCTGGCCCCCAGGCTGCCAGGCGAGGGGCGAAAAAGTGGGGCCGGGCTTGAGCCTGAAAAGGGCCAGGGCGGTTGCTCAGTAAGGAACGGGGATTCCATCTGGTTGGTTGGCTTATAAAAGTCATGCCATTTCTCATTCCCGGCTGAGCAGGGTCCGATTCCCGAATCATTTCGTGGTCTGGATTGGTTGGGAGTTTGAAGAGAATCTGTGGATAGGAAACCGACACGGCTTCTCCCTGAGAGGTCCCAGGAGTATATACCTCTTCTGGAACCACACCCATTGGCTTAGAACCCGCGGTCGCTGGGGACCTCTACAAAATGCGCGGCGTCCTTTTGTGTTTCCCCCTAAGCCGACCCAAGATTCAAGACCAGCAATAAGGGCAACCACAAGTTGTTGAGTGTTGGTGGTTCTTTTAGGAGACAGACGTGTGTGGGTGTTGCCAGAGTATCCTGTCTATGGTCAACTTGCCGGGTACAGGGAAAAAAGACTAAATTTCAACCAGTTGAGGGGGGTGGGGCGCTGCTATGAGTTCCGTTAGTCCAATAAGTCCAGTACTGATTTTTGTAGAAAAGCAAAAGCGTAAGCCATCTTGGCAGGTCCCCCCCAAAAACCACACCCATGACCTTTGTCTGCAGGTGTCACTCAAAGATATTTTCCACTACCACAAAACCACAAGAAAAGCGACGTATCCCCTGAAAACGTAGTTGTTATATAGTGGTCGTGTCTCCCGAACCCCTCGAGGGGCTAGCGGAAAGCATCTTAGAGCCACTCTCAATTTGCTTCACCTTCCCCCTTGCCGTTTCTGCAGGTTTGTTGTAATAAGGCCTCGGTGTTGAAGTATCCATTTTGCAATTTAAAAGCATCATTGCCATGTTGCTTCCATTCTGTCGCGAGGTGACGCATTCGTGTTGGCGTAGACGCAATGTGGGTTTGTCTCTTCGGGGAAACCGCTAAACAGACGGGTTCTTTTTGGTTTCCCTCCAAAACAGCCTCAAACCGGGTACCCAACTTTAAGAGAAAAATAGAAAATCACCATGACGCCGAGTCAGAACGTCTGATTTTCCCCAGTTCCTCCATTTCTATGTAGGGAACCAGCCTTTAAAGGACCAAAAGGAACCTGGCGAAGGGTGACTTTTTCCAGGCGGTGAATCGGAAGTTCTCCGACTGGCCGGCCTTCGAAGCGGGCCAGCGCTTCTTCTACGGCCTGAAAAGCCGGCCGGACGTGCACGCCATCCTCAAGGAATCCAAACCGCCGGTTTGGCCGGCGGGGCTGGGCCATATGGGTATGGACCTGTTCAATAGAAAGTACTCGGTCAATGCCGCTGATGTCTTTGCCCTGTACAAAAATGATGCCAGTGAAGATTTGTAAAGATTTAAGTCGAAGGGTTTTGGTAGACCATTGACCAAGAATAAGGGAGCAAGGGAGCCCCTTATGTACCCCATCCACCGGTTTCCGTGGTTTGGTTTGAGTTGGTACCCGTGTCAGCTTGGTTTCAAGGTTCGGGGTCTCCTTTTTGGCATCAACCGGCGAGCGATTCCAGCGAGCTCGCTTCGCCCAGGAAGGTCCCTTCGTGGGGAAGTATGGCGTAATATATTCATGGGGTGTCCAGAAGGGATTTGGAAACATAAAGAAGACAAGAGGAAGACTTTTAGGGTTCCCCGAATTTGACACCCACATATGTGTTGTGTCTTGCGTTGTGGCGTTTGGGCCGGGTTGGAGTTGTGTTAGAAAATGGATGCAACGTAGTGCAACAGGCCATAGGTTCACCTTGCTAACAAAGTCAAGTTCCAATTGTTGCTGTCATTGTTTCTGAACTTCTCTAGCCCATGTTGAGTTTTGCATTCCAACAGGAAACCAGGCGACAGATCATTTGGTTCTTTTTCCAGACCCCCCAATTGCTCGCACCCATTATTGTCATTTAGCACCCAGTCCCTGCATGGGGGGGGGCCTTTTTCTGCGGGTACCTTGTTTACTGGTTTTAAATCAAATCGAAAACACCACGACTTTTTTGGGGTGGGGGAATCCCCTAAAACAAGGCACCCCCACTTGGATTGTGCGTTTTGTCCTTGAGGACAACCGCTACCCGGACGACTTGTTCCCCAGAGACGAGAAATGTGACCTCTGGGACCAGCTGGGGATGTACATGCCCTGGGTGCAAGGCAGGCTGTCCGAACCGGGATATTCGGATGGAGTTTCACTTTGATTTTCGGGATGTGTATGTGTGTGTGTGTGTCAAAATGGAGCTCCACGAAGTTCTGTAGTTCTTCCTCTTGATTTCCCTTTGAACCACCTGAACAGTATCAACAGACACACCATAGACATCAGCCTGTAATACCATCGAGCACGCTGGCAGGGCTTGACTGTTCAGATGGGCAAAGTCGATGGATGGCACTTGGACAAAGCAAAGCAAATGAGCCCGTCGAGGTTTGCAAGCAAGCCGTTCCTGGCATGTTTGCTTCTTTTTAGGGGCTATGGGGAAAAAAGGGCAGGAGAGTAGCGTCAAGGGGAGAGATTGAATGACGTCAGTCTGCACTTCGTAGCCTCGCCCCCTTCCCTTCTTGGCGTTCGTGCTATGTCCTTCGCATAGCTTAGCTTTCCACTAAGCCCTTGGTTTTGCGCACCACTTCGCAGTCGTGGCACATGCCCCCAGCCCAGCCCCGCCAAGTCCGTAGGGCCGCGTTCTTCACTCCGCCCATTTCACAGCGTTTTCCTCTACCTATTGGTCTGTTCATTTTTGGCAGGGTCTGTAAAGAAGTTGGCTGGCGTTGGGAAGGATATGTGTTGAACACCTTCACAAGGGACTGCAAGGAGCGAATTGCGTGTTTGGATTGGTGAACAAGGACATGCAGACCGCTTCATGACGGGGCCTTACACTGGCTTCACGTTAGGATTCTTAGGTTCTTGGAATTCCAGGTGTCCATTTTCCCAGCTTTGGAAACTGGCTCGGCTCCCCACTGCGGACTTGCCTGGTTTTCTCCCTACGCCTCTGTGTTTCAAAGGAAAAACCAACGGGGAAACCGCCAACTAGTTTAAGGGGGTCCCTCAAACAAAGACACACCGGCCCAGATGTTGTACTAAAGCGCCTGTTGATCAAGCAGACTACGAGATGCAGTTCTACTTCAATGGATTGTAACTGGCAGACTCTGAAACATTGAATGAGTAGAAACGCACAATGAGCTGTGATGTTCCTATGGAGCTTTTCAAAAGATGCTTCTGTGTATTCCCTTGAATCACAAGATGTGGGTATTGATATGATTGTGTTTTCCGGCTGGAATATGTCTTCAATCCTTGCCTAAACAAAGTCTGATGCAGGCATCATGAAATGCCCGAACACACGTGCAACATACTGCAATATCTTCAGCGTGCACCATGTGTGTTTGTTTGTGTGCGAGCGTGTGCATGTGTGTTTGAGTGTGTGTGTGTGTGTGTGCGTGTGTGCCCGTTTTGTAGCAGTCAAGTCCAGTGCAAAGGAGCGATTCCGCTTCCCACGTGGAAGGAGCGCCTTTTCAGTGATGGAATGCAGAATTCATGTGCGTACATGACACTTCCTTAGCCTTTTAGCTTTTTAGTTTTTAGTGGTAAATTCCAAATAAAATTCACTAAAAGTTAGTCACTTTTAGCGGGGGATCTGAGGGCAGCCCAGACAGATTTGGGTATGTTCTAAGAGAAGGGACCCCGAACGATGGTTTGGGCCCATAAGTACCACCAACCCCAAGTCCGCTGCAGGCGCCCAGGACGTGATCGTCCTGTAAGCCACGGCCCTGTCCGGAGCTACCAAAGAGCTGGGGGTCAGGGAACCGCCCCCCAAAAAAGGCATATATCCTTTGTGTTTTCTCCTCGTAGGGTCGAGCTTTCATCACCTCTTGGGCTGTGAAGGGCGGTAACCTGAGCATTTCGGCATTTAAAGTTCCCAGCCTTGGTGGCAAAATCTGCACTTGGCGCCGTTTCTGCGCTCTTACGGCGACACGCAATGCCACCAAGCTGCCCGTCTGCGGGCAAAGGGTGGCAAGCGCAAGCTTTTGAAGATGTGCTCTACAGGCGGCCGGTGCAAAGGAGAGTATGTGGAGGGAGTGAAGGCCATGTTGGCAATCCTTTGGTTTATCAGAGATATGCAGGTGACTGTTAGCTGGTTGGTGCTGCTTGTGGCATGTTTTTTCCTCCCCATTCCCTCAAATTTATTGCCGGCCTCCCGATGAAGTTGTGTTTAGCTTTGAGGTGTTGAGGGCCGGGGGTGTCTTGCTCGTTGCCTGTTTCGGGATGGTAAATGTATTTAAATGTGTTCCCCAAAGTTTGCACTTTGCATTACCGAGTAATATACGCGTACAGTAAATTGAATGAATACCTCATGTGGAAATATCCCACAAGTGTGAATCGATGACCTCAGGTGACGTCTTGTACTTGCAACTATCCAGTCCTTCCTTTTGGGATTAATTGTAATTATCCAACAAGTAGATTGTGTTTAAACAAGTGTTGTTTTTGTCACGATCCAGTAGATGACTGGAGGAGACAAAATACGAGAAGCCACGCGTGACTATTAATGTTGACCCTGTATTAATAATCTCCCCCCTATTAGTCCGGTCCGGCTGACCCCCCCCAATACTAAACAAATCATATCTCAGAAAAACCCCCCCAAATAAAAAAATGATGCAACAAAAACAACCCAATTAGACGGGTGCCTCCACCAGGTCTCATTTTCTCCACTGCTTCTTCAGCTCATTTCTTAGAAATGGCTGAAAATGTCATCCATATTGAAACTAAATGGCAACTAAATCCATTTCTTAGAAATGCCCCAGCAATACTAAATCAAATGGAAACTCAATTCCAGATCTCAAAAGGAAGCCCCAGCAATACTAAATCAAATGGAAACTAAATTCCAGATCTCAAAAGGAAGCCCCAGCAATACTAAATCAAATGGAAACTCAATTCCAGATCTCAAAAGGAAGCCCCAGCAATACTAAATCAAATGGAAACTCAATTCCAGATCTCAAAAGGAAGCCCCAGCAATACTAAATCAAATGGAAACTCAATTCCAGATCTCAAAAGGAAGCCCCAGCAATACTAAATCAAATGGAAACTCAATTCCAGATCTCAAAAGGAAGCCCCAGCAATACTAAATCAAATGGAAACTCAATTCCAGTCAAAAGGATACTAAATCAAATGGAAACTCAATTCCAGATCTCAAAAGGGAGCTCCAGCAATACTAAACAAATGGAAACTCAACTCCAGATTATTTAGGGGGGGTGGCAAAAAATATTCCCCCCCAAACCTTCCTGACCTTCGAGGGGGGGGGGGGGGGTTGCATACTAATACGGGGTCAACATTATTGCCATAAGATCGGTTCCTGTGTCCTGAAGCAGGAAGCGAGCAACACCTCGATCCAAGTCACTTTTGGGGCGCCCCATTTCGGTGTCGAAGCCTTCGGGCGGCGGATCAACGGATTAGCTGCCCCGGTCGTAGCTTGCGAAGGTAGATTGCTCCTAAGTGGGAGCGGGTTCCGAAGCTTCTTGTGGGGCTTCGCTTCTTGGCTTGTCTTTTGCTTTCGGACGCTTGGTTTTGAAAGAGAAAACTGTCTGGATTGTTCTCCTTGAAAAACTCGAAGGAAGCCACAAGGACACCAACATTCGGAATGCGACTCACACTTCCCATGTTTGAGTGGACGTGCCGTTTCGGTTCCTAGCGCGAATCCGCGAATGGGTCTGGTTGCCTTTTGTGTGCGACAGCCCACGCGTGTCTTCCGAAAGTGAGAGGAGGTGAGCAAAATGCGCGCGCATGGTTGCGGAAACCTGGGTTTTGAGGCCTGTTTTGGGACATCATGGGAATCCTTGTGAAAGTGATGAAGTAGCCGGGTCGGGATAGCCCACTTTGCTGTCACGGAAAGATGCCTCGCACAACCAGAGTGTCTTTTTGGAGAGAACAAAACTCTTTTGGGGTTGTTGTGAACTCAAACCCACAACATGGTATTGCACACATGTCGAAGGCAGGAATCGACTCCAAATGATTGGTGTTCATGTCGGCTCCGCTTCCAAGGAGGGGTGGGCGGGGGGTGATGTCTAGTTTTGACAGGGGGCCATGTAGTTTTCTAACTCGGACCTGTTTAGTGTTTCGAGGGCAATATCAGCAGGAATTCCAATTAGGGACCATTTGGTGGGCATCGTGCAGGCGGAGATTTAACAATTTATGTCCACCAACCACTCGTGAGGTGGTTCCCCATCAAAAATTCAGCACGCCACATGTGCCCACTATGAAGGTTCTTTACCTCTGACTGGACTTCACTGGTCCCTTTGGCATTATAGGGGGGTTCCTGATGGATGGCAGGAAAAAGACCAAACCATCAGAGTGAAACACACAGATGTGTTTTGTGACGGGTGGACTCTGCGAATCAATAGCAATTCAAGCTTTCAGGCTTTCTCAGCACAACAATTCCGCCACCAATGCTTCTACAGTCGTCGCCTCGTGATCTCGCATCAAGCTCAGTCGCCAATTTCTTGCCCCGGTCTTTTGCGACACAACTTCCCTTCTCGCAAGCTGTTCCGTCGGAGTTTAAGTTCGGGGTCGAAGGCCACAGGCCTTTGGGCCATGGCCTCGCAACCCTTTGGCCTCCGGTGCCAGAGGCCAATCCACAAAGGACCTGAGCCTTTTTGCCCCCAAGCAAAATGCGCGGAACCACGGGGAGCCCCCGGAAAAAAAAAAAAAAAAAAAGAAAAAGAAAGAAAGAAAGCCCGCACGGCGCGGTGGGCTGAATCATCCATGTGACATCAAGGGGCCCTTCCCCTTTTTCAAGATGTTTTTAGAGCAACACCTGTGAACCTCCATTTTTTCGTTTCGTTCACTGGCCCAACCAAAAGAGGTTGGGGGTCGAACAGAAAGGGTTCCTGGAGCAGACCCCTTTCAAGGGATCAGACTCAACAGCTGCTTTGGTCGATTTCGCGATAGCCCATCGCCTCTGATTGCTTAGGTTTCCAACCAGTCAGCTTGCAAAACGAGGTTTCTGTTCCCTCGTGTGTAACCAAAAGCCCTACCGGTCAGCCCAACCAACCGGAGGCGCCACAAAGCTCGCGAACCCCACCCCCAAACTCCGGCGTCGCCGAGCCGACGCGATCCGACGCGACGGGGGCGACGGGGATCTGGAGGCCGCGGAGTGGGATCCGGAGCTGGGGAGTTTCGTGGAGCAGCAGCTGGCGCTGAGGCTGCAGCAGGAGCTCCGCTCCGCTCCGCTCCCGCTCCCGTCGCCAGAGACGGCCACACAAATGCGTCGCGGAGGTGGGGTGAGTTTTGTTTTGTGAGGATGCTCCCTTGTTGGGTTTGGAGAGGGAAATCATCACTGGAAATAGTTTCTCATGCTTGTCGAAGGGAAGGTTGAGTGGGCAAACTTTGAGCTGTTTGCCGGTCGGCCGCTTCCTCATATTAGTCAAGGCCCAAATAGTTTGAGCTTCTTTGGCCAGTCAGAAACCATGTCACATTTTAGGGTCGAGATTGTTTCTGTTTTGGACTCTGAATAATAAATGATATTTTCGGTGTGCCCCATTTTGTTTGCGGGCCAAGAAAAGGCCAAGTTGTTCCTCTCGGGGTTGGGATGGTCAACCGGGGCCATGGCCACGAGCCAGGTTGATGGTTTGGATTTGGATTTGACTCACTCACTCACTCACTCAAGTTCGCACGGGGCCTATGTGGGCGCAGCTGGTTGATTGGGGGGGAAGTGGATTTGAGGTAAATGGGGAAAACGATTCTCGCCCAGGAACGCCTGCCCAATGCAAACCACCTGAAAAATAAGTTGGGTCCCCACTGCTTTTGATGGCCTCGGCTACAAGGGGCCGGTTTGCACCTTCCCCCCCGTTCCGCTGATTGGTAGAAGCTTCTTTAAGCTCCACCCAGGAGCTGCAAGAGTCTCGCGCCAAGCTGAGGCTGGGAGTGACTTCTTGCAGGTGGGATGAGGGGTCACGCTTTTTGCTAGGCGAAGGAGTCCATATGGCAGTGATGTTTGTTGAGGGGTCTGCAACAGAGCCGGGGCGGACATTCGATGCAAACCTCGTTACAGACCTCTGCAACAAGACCCGCTGACTCGTCTCACACTCCTCGTTCCATACCTTCGTCACACACCTCACATGAAGAAAGCCGCCTGGCTGATGGCATTCCCCTCGTTACATACCCAGATGCGTGCCCTGAGTGACTAAAGCCGGCGGCTTAGACCGCCCCTGCTTTCTTTACACTTAAGTGTCCCCTGTTACCCCCCCAAGGTTTCCAATGTCTTCCCCGTGGCTCCCAATGTTCCCCCCCGCATACCTCGTTACAGACCCAACCCCAGCTCGGGCCAACAGTATCATTTTTGCGTCGCTTGGCTTGCGTTGAATACCGGCGAAATCCCTGCATTTTCCAGCTGGAGCTGCAGGTGCGCTTTGCGTACTGCACTTTGCTACGTCTTGGTACACACCTCGTTAGATAGCCGTTACATACCGCGTGATGGACCCAACCCCAGCCCGGGTGAGCAATATCATTTTTACTGTCGCTTGATTTGCGTTAAAACTGGAGCTGCGGAGGTGTGCTTTGCCTACGGGACTTGCACTCAACAGTTGTTCCCGGCTACATTGCCAATGTTTTCCCGCTACACACCTGCGTAACAAAGACCCCCTGTACGGATTGTTCAAGCAAGTCTTTCCGATGCCCAAAGGGTATCGTCCGTCACACAATTGGTGCCGGGGGGGGCCTTCTCCCCAATTTGGGTGCCAACTCGCCCAGATGTTTTATTGCAATTTTC